CCATGCCTGGTCCATCTGTGTGGTTAGCAAGGCAGGCACTCTGCAGCTAGGCGATTCTCCCACTAGTGCAGGGCTCTGGGGCAAAGGAGTGGATCTGCAGCATTAGGGAGAGGGGATCCGAAAGGGAGGGTACTCTCAGGAAAACCAAGCAAGCTAAGGAAAGAGATCTTACAATGGACTCCAAACAAGAGTCTGCCCTCTGCACAGGCACATGAGAAGGGATGTCAGATATCCTCATCGACACACAACTAGGAGATGTGGAAGGGGGTGATGGTGAAGAAAAATAAATCACATCCATTTTTTTTGGGTATACCCTGTCCCTCCCCACTCTTCTTCCTTTGAGAACTTTTTTTTTTTAAGATTTTATTTATTTATTTGAAAGAGAGAGAGAATGAGAGAGAGCACATGAGAGGGGGGAGGGTCAGAGGGAGAAGCAGACTCCCTGCTGAGCAGGGAGCCCGATGTGGGACTCGATCCCGGGACTCCAGGATCATGACCTGAGCCGAAGGCAGTCGCTTAACCAACTGAGCCACCCAGGCGCCCCTCTTTGAGAACGTTTTAACACTATTATATATTAGTGTACCTGGATATATTATTTGAAAATGAAAAACTAGATGGTGAGATTATTCACATATCTTTATGTAAAATTTATTCAACACTGGAAATGTGCCAGGCTCTGTTAAAAGTACTTTCCAAATAAATATTAAGTCATTTAATCCACACAACAACTCTATGAGGAGGCTACTAGTTTGCATCTTACAAATGAGGAAACTGAGGGACAGAGAGGACAAACAACTTGCCCAATGTCATTCAGCTAGGAAGTGGCAGAGCCCAGGTGGTCTTCTCCTGAACCCACACTTTGCTTTCTCCTTAGGAAAGGACCACAAAACAAGTGGTGAGAGGGTCACTTCTTCTTTTGGCTGCTTGGCTTTTGAAACCACTTTTTATGTTAAGGGAATCCTGGCGAGACCCAAGAGAGGTGCTGTCACCTCCCACTCTAAAAACTGAAAATGGCAGACACTCATTTTGCAGCACATGCTTAGCTCAGGCGTTCAAATACACAAACTAGTTTGATTCTGGAGCTAATGCTAACAAGCCACAGAAAACCCTCTCTGGAAACAGTGGTCACTGCAGTGGGCACAGTGCTGGAATTGGTTTAGGCACCAAAGAGAGAGTAGAGTTAGTGGTGAGTGGGTTTTGGAGACTGACTGCCTGGCTTTGAATCCTGCATCTAACCTCTGAGTAAGATGCCTAGCCTCTTTGTGCTTCAACTTCCTCAGGTGTAAGGTGAGAATAATAATAGTACTATCTCTCAGATTGTTGCAAGAATTATGCAGGACAACAGAGGGTAAACCATAGCACTGGAACAGAGTAATCTCTCAATAAGAGAGGAGGAAATTGGCGTCGGAGAGGGTAAGCTGTACAAGAACATGCCACTATAAAGTGAGAGAGTTTAAGTAGACACACAATTCAGTTCATTACAACAACCATCTAATGAACTGTCCATCAGGAATTTAGAGCGTCTGGACTTCAGTAAACCAGCTAACGAAGTCTTTCATGGTCTCACTGGGTCAGTGAGACTTCATCCTGGTTGATTTAGCCTGGTCTCTCTATGGCACTTTATAAGAAACAAATCAATCAAAATGTACTTAGAGGTGAAAAGAATACAGAGAAAAAAAAGGTTAGATTTTCCTTTTCCTATCTCTGCCACCTGCAGCAGCCTCACGGCAGCTACTCCCTGACTTTCCCCTTGCCCTCAACTTCAAACTCAGAACAACCGAGACCTAGTTTGTGGAGTGGCAAACCCTAGCCTTTCCTTCACTCTGTCTTCAGCATTCTCTCCAGTGAGAAAATTTCAGTCTTAGAAGCACATTCCTCATCCTCCATCTGATTCTCTACTCTTTGTGATGCAAAACCCTGGAAACCAGACTGGAAAAAGAAAACTTCCCATAGAGGGCAAGAGAAAGGGGAAGGTTTTGAACCAATACATCAATAAATTTTGTAGTCACCACTCAAGCAGGATCCATGTAGCACTAAGGGAAAGGGAATTTCACAGAAATCTCAGAGCAGCCATCCTTCAGAATGCAAGGCTAGCCCAGGGCTCAGGTAATTTGATTATCCCTTGTTATTTATTATCTGATTGTTTTTAGTATACATGCTGCCGAAGCGAGCACTATAATCTGATTGTTAATGAGACTGTCTAATTTCTGTTTCTCTTTGTGGTCTCTTTATATCTCCCCCCTGCTGCCAGTGAATCTTTCAATATTTCCTCAAATTTCGAATTTCAGAAGCAGAGAGCCAAATTCACTTAAATAACTTTTATCATATCCATTGGTCAGGGCTTTGACCATGGAGCAAAGTCATAGGTCACAGGCCGGTCTGTGGGTTTGTATCTCTTGAATCAAATCCCGTGGCTAGTCCAACTGGTAGCCATTTCTGTTTTTACAATAGCTTGACTCCCACATCTTTCCTCAGTAGAGGGCTGGACGAGGCAGCTTCCTCAGAAAAAGATAGTCGGTATGAAGTTAGAGATGTGAAGAAGCAGGGGCTGTGTAGAATCTCTTCTAGTAAAGTGGCTGCAGTGACCACAGCTCCATCTGGTTCCCAGAGGTAACAGTGGCAGTGGACCTGGAGGCAGGTGTCCAGGATCAGGTTGGGGAGAATCCATGAGACAAGCTGTAGTGTTTGGGCCTAGTGAAAGCTGCAGTGTCCACCAGATTAGCTCTAGGGTGTGTTGTGGGCTTGGGTCCTGGCTGCAGAACCTCTGGTTTCCCAGCACTCCTAGAGATTCTGCAAACTACCAATATCCTTTTAATAAAGTTCTGTTTCCACTTAGCTCAGTTGATTTCTGCTGTTTGTGAGATCCTAATTCAGAGACTGTTATAGATAGAAGGAACCCAAGGGTCAAAAGGCAACTTTGCTGGCCTTGTCTGTGGCCTCCCCACACCCTTCCCAAGTCCATGAATCTAAGTAACTTGCCCAAGTTCATACAGCTGGTAGCATGACCATACTAAAACCTCCAAAACCCCTTCAGCAGACCTCTTTTGATTCTTAGCCCAGTTGATTTTCTTGTGAAAATTCTTGGGGACCTCTACACCTGCCTTATATTTGGAAGTCAACTCATAGTTTCCTTATTTTGTAGTATGTGTTTTATTATAATTCTCAGTTTTTAGAGTTTACTGGATCTCAAATTCTTTTTTTTTTTTAAAGATTTTATTTATTTATTTGACAGAAAGAGACACAGCGAGAGAGGGAACACAAGCAGGGCGAGTGGGAGAGGGAGAAGCAGGCTTCCCAAGGAGCAGGGAGCCCGATGCGGGGCTCGATTCCAATCATGACCTGAGCCGAAGGCAGACACTTAACGACTGAGCCACCCAGGCACCCCTGGATCTCAAATTCTATTTAATGAATCTGAAATCCAACCAGTTAGGTAAGAGGAGGTGACAGCCATCATCACACAAATGGAAGAGTTCGCTTTAGATGGGAGCTTAGATAAAGTATCCACAGTTAAGGGGGAAGATAAACATACAGGGAGATGGAGAGGTAGGGCAGTTAGTAGATTTTATTGGTGAGAGGATGTGGCAATTCTCTTTGATTCCTTCAGTTTTCTCAGTGAAATAAAAAGCCAGTCATCATCTGAGAGTGGGAATGGGAAAGGGTAGTAGAGGCCTGAGGAGGAGGAATTAAGTGATATGTTAGGGGAGTGGGAATGTGAATTGTCTAGGGAAATTAGCAGGGTTGCTGGGTACCACTGTGGGCCCACTTGAGGATTGTGGTCAGAAATTTTAAAATCAGATCAATTAGCATAATTGTATATTTTTCTCCAGCCGTGTTCATACAAGATAATTATAATTCAAGGAATTAAGAAACTGAGAAACTAAGGTGTTGGATAGATCATCTGTGTGTGTGCGTGTGTGTGTTCACAAATAGAAACATATAGTATATAGTTTTGTGCTTTTCTTTTTATTTTTTAAGATTTATTTGTGAGAGAGAGAGCGAGCGAGAGTGCACTGAGTAGGGGGAGGCGCAGAGGGAGAGAATCTCCAGCAGACTCCCCGCTGAGCACGGAGCCCAATGCAGGGCTCCATGCAGGGCTCAATCCCACGACCCTGAGATCATGACCTGAGCCAAAACCAAGAGTCAGATGCTAAACTGACTGAGCCACCCAGGCTCCCCTGCTTCTTTCTTTTTTCACTGAATAATACATATTGGAGATTATTACATATCAGACTGCTTTATACTTTCTATTATCTGCAGAGTATATAAGCGTGCTCATCCCTAAGAGGAAATGAAGCCCCACTGGTGAACAAAGTTCATAGGTAATGTCTTAACTTACTTTTCTCTCACATGTACTCAAATGTCTAGTATAGGGTCTAACACATAGTATATGCTCATATCTTTTTAAAATCTATGAGGGGTGCCTGGGGGGATCAGTTGGTTAAGCGTCTGCCTTCGGCTCAGGTCATGATCCTGGAGTCCCGGGATCGCATCGGGCTCCCTGCTCAGCGGGGAGTCTGCTTCTCCCTCTGCCCCTCGCCCCTCTCATGCTCTCTCTCTCTCCTCTCTCTAAATAAATAAATAAATAAATAAATAAATAAATAAATAAAATCTTAAAAAAAAAATCTTTGACACACATATTTATCTAACCCATCTGGGGATCATGTAATGCCTTTGAAGTCCAAGACAGAAGCTCTGACTGAAAGCCACTACTTAATGTCCTTTCAGATTAAGAGTTTTAACAGGAACTCCAAAGGCCCCTCACCCTCCCAGTGGGAGCTTTCCCAGGCTCACAGATAGAACTTTGTCCTTCCCTCCAAAGATAAGGGGGTGTTCTGGGAGGCCTATATGCCTTCCTTGATCACAGTATCTCATATAAACCAGAAGTCTACGGATTCTCTTACTAATGGAAGGAAAAGGCAAAATTGGATACGATAGAACTTTCACAATTCTAGGGAACTAAGTTATCTGGGCTGACACAGGCCTGCTGCCCTCCAGCTTACCTGACTCCAGGGATAGCTCCTCAGTCTGAGTGCCAGGAGTTGCATAGACCCACATCCTCTGGCTGAGTGACTACCAGAGTTGTCGGAGGTCTGAGTTATTGGAATTCTGGGAAGTTGTGGCAACATCCAAGTGGTCCACTGAAGGTGGTGGGGCTCTGGACACGTTACCTCAAAATAGCATACCTTGCCATATTGAATATTTTAAGCTGAAGAAGTTTTGAGAAATGGCAGAAGAAGGAAGGTCACTCCAACCTTCCCCTTGCCCTTCTCACCTAAAATAAGTCATAAAACCCTCATGCGAGAGATGCTCTCCTTATACCCAGAGGAAAGGAGCACCCTCATTCTGAAGACAAAAGGATGTCAAAAATCCTAATATGCCTTGCTAAGTTTCCCCCAGTTTACTACACTTAACTCATACTCCTTAACCTACCATATTCCTCCATACTGTCTACTCTTCATTAAACCCAACAAAAAACACTCAAGTCTTCATGTCCTTATGAAGGCTCCCGTGTCACATAAAAACTTAAATAAATTAGTATGTTTTTCTCTTATTAATCTGCCTTTGTTGGTTTAACTTTCAGACCCTCTCAGGGATCCTGGGAAACTTTTTCCTCCCCTAGAGATGATGTGTTTTGCCCACTGGCCAATGTACACCACACTGCAGCCCAGAGCTAAGTAAGGCATCTTTCAGGGCAGGTCTCAACACCTGTGGGCCTCGGAGCCCATGTGGAAGTCCACGTTTCTCCTTAGTCCACCTCTTTCCTTGGCAGATAAGTGTGGCATTGGAAATAGTGCCAATACTGCAAGGGAGGTGAGGCAGGTTGCAGGCACTGTGGATAAATAAGTGTGCTCAGCCCAAAGAGATCATTGGAGAATCCATATGTTTAGGTGACAGGAGGCAGGTTAGGAGACAGGAGAAAAGGTCAGGGAAGAGGAAGAAGTACAGAAGAATACCCTATTAAGGAAGCCAAGGAGGAGAGAGTGTCAAGGGGAGGCTGCCCAACAGCATCAAATGCTGCCAAGAAGCCAAGAAGGATAACCAATTGCACAAAGGCTGGATTTGACAAAGTGAGAGGTTACCAAGACTAATACAGAGGAGGGTTTTGGGATAAGTCATTCGAGGAAGACTTCCTGCAAAAGACTAACTCTTAATTCAGCCTTGACAAATGTAAAGAATATGAATTAATAGAAGAGTAGAGAGAACTTAGACAAAAAGGTAAGTTTTAGGAAAGAGAAGGAAGAATAAGCAAGATTGGCATTGTTAAATAAAAAAAAATTCAACTGAGTAAACTTGAAGATCTAATTTGCTTTATTCAACAATTCATGAATTGGGCAGCATCCCATCAAGCAAGCAGAAAGGAGCTCCAAGGAACTGTATAAAATGGAAGGCTTTCAGAGGCAGGGTCAGAAATAAGGAAAGAGCAAATTACCTCACCTTCCTTTGTGGGATGGAAAGGGTCTTTGTGGCAGATTATGTCACTGGTGCTGACCAGAAAATTCCAGACTGACTAGCTAAGATGACATTCCTGGAGGGGTGCCTAGATGGCTCAGTGGGTTAAGTGTCAGCCTTCGGCTCAGGTCATGATTCTTAAGTCCTGGGACCTGCTTCTCCCTCTCCCATTGCCCTTTCCCCTCTCCCTTTACCCCTCCCCCTCCCCCTGCTCATGTTCTCTCTCTTGCTCACTCTCTGTCAAATAAGTAAATAAAATCATAAAAAAAGAAAAGAAAGGGCGCCTGGGTGTCTCAGTCTTTAAGCGTCTGCCTTCAGCTCAGGTCCTGATCCCGGGTCCTGGGATCGAGCCCCGCATCAGGCTCCCTGCTCCGCGGGAAGCCTGCTTCTCCCTCTCTCACTCCCCCTGCTTGCTTGTGTTCCCTCTCTCCCTGTCTCTCTCTGTCTGCCAAATAAATAAATGAATGAATGAATTAATTAATTAATTAATAAAATCTTTAAAAAATAAAAAACCCCATGAAAACCTTTAAAAAGAAAAGAAAAGAAATACATTCCTGAAGAAGTTTGAAAGTGTAATTAGGTTAGGTATTAAGCCTTGGTTTGGCTTAGCACAATCCCATTCTGGGACCTGTTTTTTGTTTTTGTTTTTTTTTTTAACAGCACATAAATACAAGATTTTACAGCAGAGGAAGATGCTTGAAACAATAAGAAAAACAACGGAGCTGATAAGATTGAGAAGGGAGGTGGCAGCTATTAGAAAATCTTCAAGGCTCTCAAAAAGAGTTTGCTTTGGTGTATAGTTATTTTGAAGTCACTATAGAACCATTTTGGGTTTCTAAGTCCAGAGATGAAAGAACTACTAACATAGCAAAATTGAGGCATGTAGGCATGAGAATCAAACCAGGTATACCAAGAAGAGAATGTTTTCTGTTACTTTAACAGTGTGGTATAATTCTGAAGAAACACCCATGTGTAGCATATAAGGAAAAATTGTAAGAGACTGAAACAGACTACAAAGATTATTGGTGTCTTCAATGGAAAATAGGTTTTGTCTAGCACACACTTCCAGGTTTTCTGATTTTATGGGGTCTCGAGGCTTTTGTTGTCCTTGAGTTATTTAAAACACTGTAAATTGTAGATAAGTGATACCAGTACAATGACTCTTGTCTAAAGACATGCAAATGAATTTTGTTTGGCAGAGATTCCTTTGATTCCCCTCCCTCACTGTGGAAGAAATCAGTTTTGCATTTATTAAGCAAACTCTTTTCAGGATCCTGATGGCTTTTATACTCCTTGGATTCTTTCTAAACTAGTTGTCAAATATCACCAACACAATCTGTTATAGGATGAAGCAGAGTTTATTGCTTACCATGGTAAGGAAGAACACCACTTCACAAAGCTTTGGAATATTGTGAAGGGAGAAGGCAAAGACAGAATTTTACAGAGAATTGGAAGTTTGATTTGGGTGACTTTCAAAATAAAGACTTAATTATGATCAGGTCAGGATCATGATACTTTGATACATGATAGTTCAGGATTGGTAGAAACAGCCAAGAAGTGGATTTGAGGGAAAGGATTCAAAAAATCCTTAGGATTCAAAGAATCCTAAGGGGCAAACTATTGATGTTCTCCATTAAAGTGTTGATGGTTGGGGCACCTGGGTGGCTCAGTCGTTAAGCGTCTGCCTTCGGCTCAGGTCATGATCCCAGGGTCCTGGTATCGAGCCCCACATCGAGCCCCGCATCGAGCCCCGCATTGAGCCCCGCATCGACATCGAGCCCCGCATTGAGCTCCCTGCTCGGTGGGGAGCCTGCTTCTCCCTCTCCCACTCCCCCTGCTTGTGTTCCCTCTCTTGCTGTGTCTCTCTCTGTCAAATAAATAAAAAAAATCTTTAAAAAATAAAAAATAAAGTGTTGATGGTCCTTTCAGGAAGTTCCTGTAATAAACAATCAAACCATTTATCTGGACAGGAGACTCCAGGAAAAATTAAGTGATGCTAAGTGAGGACAGGAGAAAAACAAACTCATGCTAATGAAGACAGGAATAGCACACGGTCATAGTAAAGTAAGGTATGGTTCCTTTTCTCAGTGTCCAGCTGAGTATGAGGTTTGCCAGGTAGTTGGTTTAGGTTTCACAGTTGTAACATCTTATTGGTTCCCTCATTAATAAATGAATTAAATAAAGTTTTTGGTATGTGTTCATTTTATATTTGTATGAGAGTCATGATTTTTTAAAAAATCATCTAATAGGTAATAGAATCCAAGTGATTTGAAATATGAAGAGTTAAATAGAACTGGGTAGTTTTGTTCTTGCTACAGATATGTAATGCTGGATTAGATAATGAATAGGTAAATCTGTAGTGAGTAGATAAATCTGTTCACTGTGAACAAGTAAGTGATGTTCGGTAAAAGTAAGTTTCTGACTATAATCAGCATATAAGATCTAGATTCCAGTTTTATTTTTATGGTAAACTTTGGTAGCATTTGTCAGGAAAGGAAATTGTGTCAGTTTCACTACCAGGCTGGCTTAAATAAAGGGAACTCACTGTTATTTTTATGGGACAGGCTGGGTGTGGGTAGTGGGGGTGGGTCAAGGGCTCTTAGTTTTGGGGGACTGGACCCTGACATATCAAAGAAGGCATTTCCAGAGTCTGGCCATCTCAGTCCTTCCCTATTGCAAGAGATATTTCAGCTGTGTCTGAACCTGCAGCTCGTGGGTTTGTTCTACCATCAGTCAGATCATTCCCAAACAATGCCTCTGCTCAGGATCCCAGTGGCACTTCTCTAGGGAAGGTTTTTGAAGTTTCTCAGGGTATTTGGCCATAATCTTCCTCACCTGGGTAGACTGGTTTTCCATAGCCAAATGAACTCAGTTCTCTGGCCCAGTAAATGAGTTTTGAATTTAAATTTATCTGACTTCCAGGATCAGAAACTGGTATCGCCCCTTGCCCTAGGGAAGGAACTACAGGGAGAGGGAAGAGCTTGGGAGGGGTTCAGTTTCTGAACAAAGAAGCCAAATAAAGTCAGATTTAACATACACTGGAAACATTTAAGAGAGGATCATTGACAACTAAGAACAAGAAGCAAAGACCAGACCAGGCTAGCCTGGCTAACTGGAAACCACATCCCAGTTCCCGTAAGAGTTGAAGTCTGAGACTTTCTTTTTCTTTTTTAAATTTTATTTGGGGAAAAAAAAAAAACTACTGAACGGTTCTGAAAAAAATGTAACAAACATGTGTTATCACCTAGAACAAAAACCTGGAATGTATAAATATGGTAATATATGCAATGATTTTTTTTAAAAAGATTTTACTTTTAAGTACACACAACATGGGGCTCAAACTCACAATCCTGAGTTTAAGAGTTGCATGCTCCACCAACCGAGCCAGCCAGGAGCCCCTCAAGCAATGACTTTTTCTCTTTCTTTCTTTCTTTCTTTCCTTCCTTCCTTCCTTCTTTCTTTCCTTCCTTCTTTCTTTCCTTCCTTCCTTCCTTCTTTCTTTCCTTCTTTCCTTCCTTCTCTCCTTCCTTCCTTCTTTCTTTCTTTCCTTCCGTCCTTCTTTCCTTCCTTCCTTCCTTCCTTCCTTCTTTCTTTCCTTCCTTCTT